GCCCTCCGGAGATGCTGCCGTGGAAGAAGCACAAGTTCGAGCTGTTGGCCGAGGCGCCGCCACGGCAGGCGTCCAAGCCCAAGGGCTACGCGGTGAGCCTGCACTACTCCGCGCTCAGCTCGCTGGCGCGGGCGTGCCCCGAAGGCGCGCTCAGCCGGGTGGGCAGCATGTTCCGCTCGAAGCGCAAGAAGCTGCACATAACTAGTGAGGACCCCACTTACACTGTGCTCTACTTGGGCAATGCCACCACCATCCAGGCGCGCGGCGACGGCTGCACCGACCTAGCGGTGGGCAAGATCTGGAGCAAGAGCGAGGCGGGCCGTCAGGGCACCAAGATGAAGCTGACTGTGAGTGCGCAGGGTATCCGCATGGTGCACGCCGAGGAGCGCGCGCTGCGCCGCCCGGGCCACCTCTACCTGCTGCACCGCGTTACCTACTGCGTGGCGGACGCGCGGCTGCCCAAGGTCTTCGCTTGGGTGTACCGGCACGAGCTCAAGCACAAGGCGGTAATGCTGCGGTGCCACGCGGTGCTGGTGTCCAAGCCCGAGAAGGCGCAAGCTATGGCCCTGCTGCTCTACCAGACGTCTGCCAATGCTCTAGCGGAGTTTAAACGGCTTAAGCGGCGGGACGACGCGCGTCACCAGCAGCAGGAGCTGGTGGGCGCGCACACCATCCCGCTAGTGCCGCTGCGCAAGCTGCTTCTGCACGGACCCTGCTGCTACAAGCCGCCGGTGGAGCGCAGCCGCAGCGCGCCCAAGCTCGGCTCCATCACCGAGGACCTGCTTGGCGAGGAGCAGGAGCAGGAGCAGGAGTTGCAGGAGGAAGAGGAAGAGGAAGAGGAGCACACCGAGGGCTGCCCGGAGGAGGAGAAGGATCGAGCCAGAGAAGGAGTCACGGCTGAGCATGAGGCCGAGGAGGAGCAGCGGGCGCTGGTGGTGACCATGCACTTCGAATGCGGGGACTTGCTGGACACGCTGGAGGGTGGCCGCGAGGAGGCGCTGGGGGGCGGCGGGGTCTCGCATGGTCCTGAGGCTGGACCGCCGCCTCTGCTGCTGGGTAGCGCCTCCGACATGAAGGCCGAACTGTCGCAGCTTATTAACGATCTGGGAGAGCTCAGCTTCGGCAACGACGTGTGCAGCCTACAGGCCGACTTGCGGGTGACTCGCCTGCTGTCGGGCGAGAGTACCGGCAGCGAGAGCTCCATCGAAGGCGGGGGCCCGGACGCCACCACTGCCAGCGCTGGAGACCCGTCGGGCTCTAACGACTGCGCCAGCCTAGACGAGCTCCACTCGGGCTGAGCTCCCACCAAAGTCCAGTGCGCGCCCCTAGCGCCCCAACGTGACCCCCACCCGTCTCTCCACCACCTCCTTACCACCCTCATCCCCCAGGAAAGGGGAAATGGGACACTTGAGGCCCAGACACCCGCTTCCCCTCTCTATACATTTGGCTCTGTTTGAAGCGGGGCTCGGATTGCACATGGAAATATGCGGAGATGTGCAGGGGCGGGGGAACCCTACAAAGAAGGGGAAAGAGGCCGCACTCTGGGGTCGGGGGAAGGGAAGGGCCGCTGGTGTTAGCAAAGCTCGGCAGGCGTGAGGCGCCTGCCGGCCAGTTTCCTGTTTGTGGAGCAGCTGGGGCCTGAGGAGGAGGGGTTAACTTCCTCCCCGTCCCCCAGCTGGGAGCGGCCTAGCGCTGTCATTGACATGTCATTTAAAAACAGAAAGAAGAATTTGCTCTCACAATGTTTGAGGCTTTAATGCCAACCTCCTAGCCCCCAATCTTTTTGGTGCAAAAGCTTGAGTTGTTTACCTCAGACTCAGACCCCTGAAATTCTGCCAAATTCCTCTAATAACTGTTTGGGGTGGGGGGGAGAAAAAAGTTGCATTTTGTTTACAGTTAAAAGACATCTATTATCTTAAAAAAGTTTTCTTTTAGAAACACACACACCTTCCTCCTGCTCAAAAGGTCTCACTCCATGATACTGTGTAAAATATTTTTGCACTGTTGTGAAGTATTTTTGACATTTTTTTTGTACATAACTGTGTTCTCAGAGTTAAATGTTTATATCTTTTGCTGTGCAAAAGGGACATGTAAAATGCTGTTCAGTTGTATATACAGAAATGTGTATAAAACATTTTGTTATTTTTTAAGAGTAGCACTGCTCTGGTTCTGTTTGCACGCCAGTGGGGAGAGAATAAAGAGGAAAATTGAACAGAACAGGTGAGCGTCTAGAACTGCGTCAGAAAATGCTTGGCTGTAGGGGCGCTGGGGGAGAGGGTGTGAGCATGGCTGGGATGGTGTGGGAGGACAGGCTCTGGCCTTTGCGGAGGTGATGAGCCAAGGGGGACTCACTTTATGCATAGTCTGGGGACTTTCTGTTCGTTTGCAACTCTAGGTCCTTGGCTGGGCCCATATTCTTCACTTTTTCAGTTGTGTGAGTGTGGGCTTTTTCTGGCCTCTTTGAGTTAATTCTTGGAGATGCCGGGTGAGTTCTGTGCCTCATTCCCAGACTTGTGAGGTTACTTAAGGAGGGGTGACTTCCAAGGGCTTCTGAGGTTTTACCACCTCTTTCTGTGGTTCACTTTTCCCTTCACAAACAGCTCAAGGAGCTTTAAAGATGAACTTGAGACCTAAAGGAAGTTCCTGTGGGGCTCTCTGAGGAGTGGGATGATCTTTGTTTCTACTGGGAGGAAAATCAAGGAGAGAGGAAAGTCATAAGTTCCGGTCGTGTCTTGATGCAGGGGGGGTGGGGGTGGGGGGGTGCGGGTGAAAGAGTCCACTTCCTTTCCTTCTATAAGCCAGCATGACCCAGTGGGAGCGTGGTGTGGAGGTCAAGGCGGAGAAGGTCTGTTACAGCTTGGTCTGTGTGTGTGTCTTAGGGTTTTCAGGCTTTCTGTGTGTTTGTTTCTGTTGTAAACTCCAAACAGCTGTCTTTAGTTAGACTCCACCCGATCAGCTGGAAGCTGTAATAAGATGCTGCCAAAACTGTGCCTTCTGCAAATGATTTTTTCCCTTTGCCCTTATGGGCCCCTTTTCCAGTGTTGTAGAAATGGATCGCACTCATGGCCTTCCCTGGTGTCCTGAGGCTTGGCTTTGTTTTCATCATAAATATGTTCTGAGCAGCTAGACCCAGAGATCCTAAGGAGTCTGGAATTCACTGGAACCATAGAGGAAGTGGGGTGGGGGCAGGTTAGGGTGGGGAGAGAGATTTTCTTCCTAATTAACAGAAGTAGTTCAGGCAAAAGATGATCTTTAAAAAGCAAAGGGTGGGTAGGTGGGAAATTAAAAAATATTCAGAGTCACTTCTTAAGGGGATGAGCACAAGGTGCATCTCATATTTATCTTGTATTATATTTTGATTTGGTTGAGGGTCCCTGTCTCTTTCCCTGAATACCTTAGATACACATTATTGAATGACATTTTCAAACCCCCAGGTAGAGGACAGGAAGGTTGACTGTGTGGGCAGTCACTATTTTACATGATTAGATTCCACATTTCAAATTGTTTCTACGCCCTGCCAAGTTCCTCTGTTGCTTGAAATTGATGAGAATGTGAAACAGGGTGAAGATTATTTGACTTCTACTTGGGGGTGAGGCAGGGTCTGCAGGTCTTCCTTCTTAATCCAACCGATGTGTCCAGTGAGAATGCCGGTGGCTTTCTTCTGTGGCTGATGGGGGCATGGTGATTGATCAGAAAGTTCAGACAAATGACATTTAAACCAACACCATCGTTAAATATAAGGCAATTGTCTCTTTAAAGCCTGATTTTTCCTGTTACCTGATTGATCAGTAGGGAAGGGGGCTTAGGGGTTAAGAAAGAAGGAGAAAATAAGACTGCAAAAGAACTAGCTGCCTCTTTCCCTCCCCCCTGCTGCCCGCCCCACCCTTCCTACCTCCCCCAGCTTTTTGGCTTTTATCCCCACCGCACCCCAGGGCTCTGGCTGATGTAACTCTAGAAGAGAGGTGAAGGTGATACATGATTCACCTCTTCTTACATCTCAGTCTTCCAGGGATGATATCACTAGTGTAAGGAGAGATGTTTTGAATGAAAAAAAAAATCCCAAAGCTAATTTACTCCTAACACTCAGAGGAAAAAGAGTATGTGACAAACGCATAATGAAGTAGATGAAATACACATTCCAGAAAGCACTGAGGTCTGCTTTACTCATCAAACTCCGCATTTCCGTCTTGCAAGGTGAGGCTCGTGTTTCTCCTTTACAACCGGATGGTACTTTAAATGCAGTGAGACCCTTGCCACACTCCTCCCCAGCCTAAGTTGTCCCCCGTGTCCAACAATGCAGCACTGACTGCACGAAGAAACAAGTGACTTCCGGCGGCAAGAGAGATGGTTGCAGAGGTTGGCTGCCTGCGTCCACAGACATAGTCCTCAACCTCTCCCGGCACAAACATCACATGTTCATTTGTACAATTTGTTGTGTGTGTTGCGGGAGAAGGAGGGAGGAGTAGGGTGGTGTAAAATAAACAATAGTATTACGTTCCCCCTCAACTATTACAGTTTCAGAGAACCCCTGCTCTATACACACACACACACTCCTCCCAAAAGAAAAACTCCCTCTCCCTGCCCCACAGTCAGCAGAAGAGTAGATTTTAAACAAATTAGAAAGGCTCTGTTATACTAAGAAAGAACAATGCCTTCCCAGGGACAGAGCTGCTTTTAAGGGATCTGCTTCTGAAAGGAGAAGGAACTGGCTGGTAGAATCCACCCCTGGCATCACATTGGAGATGAAAAAGAAACCTCACTGGAGTCACCCAGGACCCTGAGAAACATAACAATTCTATTAGGAGCCACTTGCCCCCGTTTCTAACAGGAGTCAGTAATGCAGTGAGCAGAACCCTTTCCTCCTGTGGCACGAGTTGGCAGCCCTAGCATCTGCTGGTAGGTGATGTGTGATGGAGCTTGCAATGTGTGCGGACCGCTGGGGCTGGGAGCCGAGTCTGACACGTGCGAAGCTACTCAGGGCTCCTGGAGGGCAGGAGGCCCCTGGGGCCAGGGCGCTCTGTGCTCTTGGCACCAGGTTTCTCTGCACTTGGCCGCATCTGGATCTGGCTTTATTGTAACCTGGGGTCCTTTCTGCTCTCGTTGGCTCATCCATGTTCACAATGTGCCTAAGACCAGCGCTCTCCCTCCCCCCATCCCCTTCCACCAGCTCTGGAGTGACCCAATTTCAACAGCATTGACTAACCATCATTTTGGTAGTTTGAATAGCTAAGTGGCCCTGGAGCTTGGCATCCATTCCTTCACCTCTCCCGGGCTGTTCAGTAACACCAGCAAAGGTCCTTGTTTCCAACCCCCTGGGAGAGCTCCCCTTTTCACCACCCCTTTTCCTACCTGTCCTCTTCATCTCTCTCCCACTCCACTTCCTCCTGTAACACATCATTCCCTTCCTGCTTCTCTGATGACCCAGCTTCCCACCTGATCCTGGCTTCATTTTTCCTCCTTCCTACAAACCTAGCTGAGACTTTAATCACATCAAAGAAAAGAAAGCCCAAACTTGAAGGGGAAAACAAACTAAGCACACAGTCATCCGTTAGCAGTAGTCCTGCAATTCTAGGGTATGCTCTGGCCTTGCTCCCCGACTTAGAAAATGAACAACTGAGGCACAGAAGGGGTGACTTCCTGCCCACGGTTATACCAGGAGATCCCAAGACTCAGGGGTCCAAACTCCTAAACCCATGCTCTTTTCACATTCCTCCAGTTTCTATGACTTATAACCAGATTTTTAGCTTTGGCCTGGCAGCAACCGGCAGTAGAATTATTCTTTGTTTTCCCCTTTTCTTATGTACCTCTGTGTTTTATATATGGTAGGTGCTGGATGATAAACTTCATGCCATTCATCAACATGCCACTCCCACCGCCAAGTGGGCAGAAGTGTCTACTAGCTGCACGATGCTGGAGGTAGAGGGGTCAGGTATCTGTCTTCCTGGCAAGGATGTTCTCAGTGGGTGGGGTGGCAGTCCCCAGAGGAACTTGGTCTCCTCTCGCTTCCAGCCCTGAGATCTGGCCTGGTAAGACCTCGCCCTAGAAGAGCAGGTATAGTTGGAGGGTGGGGGAGCTTTTTCCATTGCACCATGTTTATTAATCATCTGTATCCTTTCTGGTTGGCTGAGTTCTCTGAGGACAGGCTGTGACTTCAGGCATCTCTGATTCACCACACTTAGCACAGAGCCCAGCACCTAGTAGGTACTCAGAAAATGTTAAAGAAGGAGTAAAGGGGTATCTCTCCAGGTTAGGAGCTTGATAAAGCTCAAGGTCATCACTCAGATGGAGGGGCCAAGCTTTTAAGGTTATACGTTTGGAAAGGAGGGAAGATTGGTATTCAATTGACTCCTCAGCTCTCCATAAGGTAGAATTAATTCTCAAGATTTTTCTTGGCACTTCCCTGACTTTCTTAGGAAGGGGTGGTTCTGGTTTGGAGAAAGATGGTTTACTTGGACTTGGCTTTGAATGGAATTGCAGTCACTAAGGTTATTGCCCAAATCCCTGTAATTTGCACCATATGAAGGCTCATATAATGTGGTATGCCAGAAAGCCTGTAGGAAGAGCCTTGCATTCAGGCCTTGAAGTGATCTGGACTCTGCATTGACCCAGTCAAGTCACTTTCCCTCACTAGCCTCAGGATTCTCATAGGTGAAATGGATGGGTTGGATTCAATAACAGCAAAACTAATGTTCTGAATTAAAGAAAGAGCAAAGCTTAAGGTCAAGTGTGTTTCTGTTTCCTTAGTGGGTAAGAATAGAAGGAACCTCTGACTGCAGGCTAGAAACTGTCTGGGGCTCCGGGGACAGGGCTCATCTTTAGAACTCACGGTGGCCTGGACCCTCACCAGAGTCTGATGCAGAGGTGATGTTCCCCTGGCCAAGCCAGAGCAGGAGTTGCCTGTTAGCATTTCTTTCACTACCTCAAAACTTGGAGGCCATGGTGTGTCCTAAAATGTGGACTGATACTGAATCTAAGGGCCAGGTAAGGGAACATAAACTAACTTGCCTAAGATCACTCAGCAAGTTAGGGCCAGAATTCAGGTCTCCTGACTCCAATTCCTACACTCTTTTCCCTGTATCTTCTGGGTTGGGATGAGTTAGTTTGGTACCCAGCCACTATCCAAGGAAATGTGGCAGAGCCCAGATGTCTGATCAAAGGCCATGAGGGCAGCTGGCAGCATGGTGTTTTGTTCTCCTAATGATGGAAACCAGGACTCACC